ATTATTATTTATAAGTACTTACCCTAATCATCTCTGATTATTATGTTGTTCGGGCCTGACCTTATATATAATTCAGAGTCTAGTTCTGTCTAAGTCTATTATAGTGTTTCTTTATAGAGTACTAGATAGCTCTGTAGTGCCTATTAGTGTTTAGCGTATTTACGTACTATAATACTCGCTTTATTTTTTTAAAGAAGATTTTATTAATATTACTATAATTTAGTAGTAATAATACTAAAATAATTATTATACTATTATAACTAATATTAAATAGAAATAATATATTCTTACTAAACTTATTATTAATTATCTTTTATTTATACTTTTTTTCTTTCTTAAATTAAAAGACAAAAATACAGATTAATATTTAAAATAATCTTAAGGCAGTTTAATAAGATATATAGTCTGGTCTTATATTAGGAACTAAAGACGTTTTAAATAGACCTATAATAATATAACAAACTATATAAAATAGTTCTGTAGTAGCATTTTGTAATATAGAGGATAATACTACTATATTAGAAGACTTTTATAATATTATAATCTAGATCTTTAATTTAGTTACTATAATAGTCCTTTTTTATAATTATATTATATTAATAATTTTTGTTTTTTATTGCTTTACTAATAGACTAGCTGATTCTTTATTTTTATTATTACTTTTCTTTTTCTATTTAGACTCAGGCTTTCTTATATATTACTTTCTTATTATCTTTGCTAGAATATTAATAATAGGCTTTTGTATCTTAGTAGTTTGCCTAATTAACTTTGTTAGTAGCCTAGCTAATTCCTTTTTCTTTTTACTGCCTTTCTTCTTAGGCTTAGTCTTTAATTTTTTTGCTTATTTATAAATAATTATTAAACTGACATCCCCTTTTCTTACAATTCTAAAATGTAGCCCTTTTTTTGTTATTTGAAATAGAAGATCGCTCCTTTGTCTTGAAATCATCGCAGATCCTACAACTTTGACGCCGCGGCTGTGCCCACTTTGAGGTTTCTTACCCACTAATGCCTCCTTTTCTTGTCGATGAATACCACGTGGGGATCGTATGTGCGCTACCCATTGAGAGGGCGGCGGTCCGGGCCACCTTGGATGAAGAACATGGAGTGTTTTTGGACAAAGATGCGCAGGATCATAACACCTACTTTGTAGGACGCGTTTATAATCACAACGTGGTGATCGCGTCCTTGCTGGCTGGTGTCAATGGCACTACTGCGGCAGTTTCTGTCGCCACTGATATGGTGAGGACGTTCAAAGGACTGAGATTCAGGCTGATGGTGGGCATCAGAGGCGGCATACTTAATCTTGACAAAGGCTACAACATCAGGCTGGGAGATGTAGTGGTGAGCCAGCCGATAGACACAACGGGCGGAGTAGTTTAGTACAACAAGGGCAAAAGCCTAGACAGAGGGAAGTTTTAATAAAAAGAGTCTCTTAATGTACTGCTGTTAGTGCTCCTTATCACGTTAAGTGCTTTGCAGGCAGACTATAAATTAAAGAATAGCAAAGTGCCTATTTATCTTAGTAAGATATTTAAATATAAACTTAAGTTATAAATAAATAGCTATACTTTTCTAGATATAGATAAAGATTATTTATACTATTATTATCTAATAAATAATATTATTTATAATTATTATAATAATATCTACAAAATATATTATTTAAGACATAAATTACAAAATTATTATATTAAGAAATTAAGTAATTAAAGATACTATTATAAGAGATCTTTTATATAATAATTATAATGCTTTATATATTAAGATAAAAGCGGCAGGGCTTATAAATTCTTTTTTATATATTATTATTTAAGGTATTTATAACTATACTAATAATTATAAAAGTAATTTATAACAAAAATATATAGCAACTATTATAGTAATATATATAAAAGAGCTTCTATTATATATATTAGTAGTACAGACCTTAAGTAAAAAGCTAATTAACTAAGTTTTAGGTAAGTAATAGATATATGTTAGTAAAATAAGTATATACTTTATTTAAATTATATATATATTTTCTTATATAAAGACTAATCCTCTTTAAACCTAATTTAACTAATTAAAGCGCCTGTTATACTAATTTATAATCTAAATATAGTAAAAGAATATATTTAAGTAATAAGTAATTATTATTATAAGTAGGAAGTATAATATTAAAATAATTAAGACTAGAAATGCTATGTTACTTTTAAGATAAATAATTATAAGTAGTAAAAAAACATTAATATTAATTAGACTACTAATATATATTAGTAAGTCTTTAGGAATAAAAAATATATTAAATAGTATTAAAGTAGTACTAATAACCTCTTATAAATATTAGCTAATCTAGGCTATAAAAAGTTAATATTATTAAAATCTTTAGTTAATTATAAGCTTTAGAATACTATAATATATATAATATGCTACTTCTTTTTTAAGGATAATAAGCGGCAGAATAAATTTAATAGTATGTTATACGCTCTCTGCTATATTAACTCTTTAATAGCTAGCATTATCTTCTTTAATATATTAGTTATACTTATAAGAAAAATAATAATAAGCTGTGTTAAGAAAAGAGCAAACTATAGTAAATACTTCTTATAATGACTGCTGACTCTAAGGCGCCTAATGTGACCTGTATTCTTAATATACTAGACGAATATTAAGATGATAATTAAAAGTAACTTATTAATATACTGTCCTAATTTTATATAAACTTATTATTATCTTATTAGTAATATAACTAGTTAAAGTTCTTAGTTATAAGTTAATTATATAATAATATCTAGTAAATATTCTAAAAAATAATATTATTTCTATTAGTAATAAGATTATATAAAAAGAATAAAAACAAATAGATTTAGAAGGAAATTAATATAGTAATTAAAGAAAGAGTCTCTAAGTTAGTAAAAGAATTATTACTTAAACTAAAGACAAAGACTTAGCTAGAGCAAAAGCTTTTATAG